TTAGGGTCGGTGCTCCCGTAAAACAGTAAATAAAAAAATGTTGGCCTAAATAGGTAGGTATGATCTATAGTGTGTTGTGACATGGTTATAAATAGTAACAGAGAAATGTATACCTCACTGATTTCTTGTATCTGGTAGAAACTGTATAGCCTCCATTCATCTTGTTACTGTATTCGGGGTAAAGAAAATAAAGAATATATTATTATTCACCATTATTACAATACATATATTTAAATTAAAAGAAAGTTGTCTACATTGTAAAATATAAAAAAAATCTAATGATAGCTTTCATCTGACAGGGATTTATGGTTTCAGCAATTTTTTAAACAAGAGGCCCAAAAACGCTCATCTGATAATAAATATTTTTATAAGACCTATGACTATCCCCAGAAGTCAGATTTGAACAATTCAAATATTTTCCCAGGATGCTCCCATAAAAGTTTACGATTTGAACAATTTAGATTGTACACTTTACCAGAATGTTTCTACAAAAGTTTCAGCTTTTCTGGCTCAGTGGTTCTTGAGAAGATATTTTTAATGATCCCACTCTACTTTTGTCTTTTCTTGAATATCTTCCCTTTGAGGGAGGCATGGCCCTTCATTTTAACTTCATTTTAAGAATTTAAAGTTCCCTTCATCAAAGAATGTTTTGTACCAAGTTTTGTTAAAATTGGCCCAGTGGTTGATGAGAAGAAGTTGAAAATGTGAAAAGTTTACAGACGAACGGAAGGATGGACGGAAGACGGACAAATCTTGAAATCCGTAAACCAATTTACTACAAAAATCAGTAGAGCTCCACCTTAACACCAGAATTTATGACCCATTGCCATAAAATCTAGAACTTTGGACATTTTTGAACTTAAAAAAATAGCTGATTGTAAAATCTTAAAAAGGGTTTATTGATTGATTGTTGTATGTTGTTAAAAATATCTCTCTAAATTTTTTCAAAAAAGACACCACCATTTGCCTATAGGGAAAAAATTTTGTTTGTGCTTGGCACTAGAGCATCATAGGCCTTTGAGCAGTGAGGGATTTTTTTGCCAGCTTTACTGCGAAATGGTCCATTGTTTGGATACATCCCAAAAGCGATCACTCATTTCCAGTTGCATAAAGTGCAAATGCTTGAAAAAAGTACCGGTACATAAAATTTTATTACATAACTAAAAACACAATTCTTTAGAAAAAGTATTTTCAAAATTTAATGTATTTGTACAATATAAAAAGCATTTTTCATTTGAAATGGGTGGTCGGGCCATGAAAAGCAAGTTTTAAAAATGTATGGGCTCTTTGGTGGGGTAAAAATCGTTGTGCGTAAACAACCTCCCCCCAGATATTTTAATTATATTGGAATAGCCCTTAGTTAGTTTGTTTAATACCAGAGAAAAAGATTTTCAAAGAAGTAATGAATTAATGTACTGACATCATTTTTTAATAGAAATCTGTAACAAAAAGAAAATATCAGTTGACCCCTAACCAGAAGAGAGAAAAAAAAATTAAAATACTGTAACATGCATCTGATCATTGCAAGTCGGTAACTAAATGTACATAGGGGGGGGCTTTTCCATGAAATTAAAAATTCACAATTGTTGTTACCCTTCACTCATTGATGTTTTATGCCAAAATTGGTTGAAATAGGTTTGGCAGTTGCTACTTGCAGAGAAAGAGCTGAAAATGTTTAAAAGTGAACACATGATAACGTACGAAAACAGATAGCTATAGTTCAGTTGACCTACAGAGTTTTGTCTGTGATATATCTTTTACATTCAACTACAAAATTATGAATATCCTCTTGGTAAAAGAAATTTGAAAACCTGTAAGGAGATGATGCTTCCCTTTCCCTGACAATGGTTGGATATTACACACTGGGGAATCTGTCAAAATAAATTAAGACTATTACATGTAACCTATATATATATAAATAAAGAGTCCTTGAGCTTGTAATACACCAGAAGTGTTAAAATTCAAATAATATTTGCTTTTTTAAGGATATGTTGATACATACATGTATACATGACTTGAAGTATATACCTAGGCATATAAATACAATTACAATGTAAATTAATGCTTACATATGGGTCAATCAATATACATGTATCCATATGAGAGATTTTAAAAAAAAAACCTGTAAGGAGATGATTCTTTCGTCTTCTAGACAATTGGGTAGTAGGATTCTGGGGAATCTGTCAAAATAAATTGAGACAATTAACATATATACATATATAATGAACCATTTAGCTTATGAAACTCTATGATAGGTCCAAAAATTCACACAAGGTTTTCTTGGGGTATGTTTATTGATGTAGATATATATCATGCTAGTGAACTAACTAATCATGGCTTTAATGGATTTTCTCCCTATATATTTATCTATTGTCAATATACCCCCAGGGGTCATGACGAACAAATAATGAAATCTACACCACTTGAGGATGCTTCAATATTAATATGACTAATCATGGCTTTGTTGTTCTAGAGAATATAAAGCATTTCCTATATTATAACGTGAAACTTAGATCCCCTATTGTTGCCTCACCCTACCCCTGGGGCATCATTATTTAAACAAGCTTTCAATTACACTGCCCTAGGATGTTATACTAAAATAATCATTTTAATAGATTTTTTAAAAGACATTTTTTATATGCATTCTCAAGTATAACACTGATGTCTTTATGTGACACCCCCTCCCCCAAAGGGTTTACATGCCAACAAAATATACGGTACACTTGTTGATGTTTCATTAAAATATCCCATTCATTTAAACCTCCGATGCTGAAGAGTTCTACAATAGCCTGTTTCGAATACTTCTTTCTACTATTAAAGTAAAACTAATTTAGAAGAAGGTACAGTTTGAGCTTTATTGTGCCCTAAAAATTTAATGTACTCAAAATACGATGAAATTGGCTTTAACAATAGTTGAGTAGTTGGATATGATAATTTATTAAAGAATATAGCATAAAAGAGGACCTTTCTAGAAGTATGACATCATTAATTCGGTAGATTTCTTAGTTTAATGCAGAAAAGCCTCAAAATGACTCACTTATGTGCGAATTTTACTTGAGAAAATAATGTCTGTCATCGTCGCCCACTTTAATTTTATATTTAAATATAATTATATATTATGTAAACTGCATTGAAAAATCGCATATCATAAAAACTTTCCTGACAACGGTGGCAGAGTATGTTTTCTTGAAGAAAATTCCACTGAAAATTGATGTCTTCTGCAACTTTTTAAGAAAATACGGGAAAATGCACAAATTAATGACTTCACAATCAGCATTAAGGAGGTCATATGAGAAAACGACTTGTATATTCTGACTACAAGGAATTCCTATGAACAGCAAAATAAAAAGGTACTGTGCTTCACCGTACCTTTTCCGGGTTTCAATTCAGAGTTTAATATGATTTAATACAACCTCTGTAATACGAATAAGAAGAAACAAATCAGAGATATCTTCTTAAAAAATTTATTCATATTTAGAACAGTCTTTCTACAAAACACTGAAGTATGGAGTAACATTCCTCTATAAATATACGCACATGTACAATTCGAGTGTGACAAAAACTTCACCCCTTACCTCCGGAGTAATATTCCTCCGTAAGACCAATGCAAAGCTTCTGAAGTCTGAAAATTCACTACAGAGTAATATTCCTCTAAGGTTATTTACAACTCTAAACTAAAACAAAAATGTTGTAAGGCCTAAGTAAGACAAAATCTCGTATACAGGGTAATATTCCTCTAGAAGATTTTGTACGATGATTATAAGAGAAAATCTGAACTATGTAGTAATATTCCTCTAAGTGCAGCTCTACTACGACGAAACTTATCTACAGAGTAATATTCCTCCAGAACGCTAAGTATGCAAAGTTCTATTGAAGCAATATCTGTATTACGGAATATTTCTCTGTCGACGAAAACTTAATTACGGAGTAATATTCCTCCAGAAGGCTATATCTATGTATGCACAGCTCTATTGAGCCAAAATCTAACTACGGAATAAAGTCTATTAAGACAAAATATGAACTACGGAGTAAAAGTTTTCTATTTACAGATCTGCTACGACAAACACTTATCTATGGAGTAATATTCCCCCAGAAGGCTTATATTACACAGTTCTATTAAGTCTTAATCTGAGCCACAGAGTAATATTCCTCTATGTAATGCTATACATGTACTACGACGAAAGTTTATCGACGGAGTAATAATCCTCTAGATATTTACAACTCTTAGAGGTAAAAACATATCTTTGAAATACTAGTAATATTTTTCTGGAGGATTGCAATTCTGACTAAACAAAAAAAATAAACTACGTAATAATATTCAATTGAAAGACTTTGAGGAGTTCTAAAAAGACAAAATTTCATCCAAAAAGTAATATTTCTCTTAAAGACTGTGCAATTCTAATAAATTAAAATATCTACGGGGTTCCTCAAAAAGGTTATTACGACACAAATGAAACAAAATCTTATTTACATCCTCTACAAAACGAAAATTAACTACAGAGTAAATAATATATCTGATAGAATTTGTGTAGTTGTAAAAAGACATCTAGAATGCGAGGTGAAAACTCAGCATAAGTGGAGGTAAACAAAGTCTTTTCTACATAGTAATATTCCTCCAGAAGGTTATGTATGCACAGTTCTATGAAGGAAAAATTGAACTATCTTAGGAGTTTGTACAGTTCTAAATAAGAAAATCTGAACTACGGAGTATTATTCCTTTATGAGACTATATGTACTTCATTCTCAAAAAAGACAATATCTGAATTACAGAGTAATATTCCTCTAGGAGGCTATGTTAATCTCTATTAAGACAAAATATGAACTACGGAGGAATATTCCTCTAGAGGTCTATGTGCATTTCTAATAGCCAATAGGGCAAAATCTGAACTACGGGGGAATATTCCTCCATGATGCTATGTACATTTCTGATAGGGCAAAATCTGAACTACGGAGTTATATTCCTCTAGGAAGCTATGTTTATTTCTTATCAAATCAGAACTACGAAGGTGTGTTCCTCTCGAAATTTACATACATTTCTAATACGACACCACTAGGAGACTTTGTACATTCCTAATTAGACGAAATATGAACAAATGAGTAATATTCCTTTGAATTCTACGTAGAGTTCTTGTAATACAAAATGTGAACTATGCTGTTATATTCCTCTAGACGGCTTAGTACAATTATCATTTGAAAAACTGTGGAGTAATATTTCTCTAGAGGGCTTTATTCAGTTCTACTAAGAAAAGAATACTAGCTCCAGAGTAAAACTTTTCTTCTTGGAGGCTAAGGCTATGTACATTCCTTTAGTAGGTTCCTTACAGTTTTTTGTGAGAAAAATAAAATACTCCATGTATTTTGCTCTAAAAAGATATACGCAGCTCTTGTGAGACAAGACCAATATCCGAAGGCACCGGAAGGCTAAATACAGTTCTATATACATATAGTTTTTACATAAATAGCTACGTTGAAATTGATGTGAATAAGGTTTGATGAGATGGTTTCGAGTGCACAGGTATTGCCCTCGCCTTCATTTTGAACGTGTGGATGAATTGAATAGTGGTATATTAGACTAAACACGCAGGGACAGATCCTATGGTATCCTTGCACAGTTACTTCAGCATTCAAAACTTTGGTATGTAGTGGAGCATCTTTCTTGTCATATATTTTTCCAATCACAGAAAACGCTGCATCTAGAAGCTTCGTGCGTATCCAATAGAGAGAAATCACTGATGCACTCTTATGTCCCTAAAATGAGTTATATTATATGTAAAATTCAGCATGAATAAGTTTTACATACATGTATATAATACGTAATGTTCTGAGCACGCCTATTAATTCAAAAAGATACTAGGTCAATCTCTTCCGTGCATGCTTTTTTTCAGAAATGATAAATCTGCATATCATTTATATATCGGTCATGATTAAAAAGGGTTTTGAGGATGCTCCTTTAATAACTACGGAATGTGCAAAGTCAAATTAATTCTTTATTTTAAAACGCATATCAAATTATTAACATAGCTACGTTCAAAACCTGATTTTAATGAAAATGTTTACATGTACTTACACGATGAATAAATTTCACAAACATAACGTTGTATGAAAATATATTTTTTTAAGACTAATTGGTTTTTTTCAGCATATAATCTACAAAGATATTAAACTGGTAAGCATTTTCTTTGATGGACACATGATATAGAGATTCATGTACATTAAGTTTAATTCTACTTACAATGTAAATAAAGCCTTGTTTATTCCTAACATCATCAACATATTAAGCGATTATTTGTGTTGAATAAAAGATATTTTAAGAAGGTAATTTTCTCAAGTAAAATCGACCGAACTGATTAAAAAGAAAAGTTCAAAGAATGGGCAAATTGCTTGGAGTCCTACTTTAAGGACAGATGATACAAACTTTTGTCAAAGATTTTGAAAATAGCAAGTTGGGTCATGTTTAAATGTGTAAATTGAATAACTTTCACCGCGTAGTTTTTAACTTTTTATTCAAATTTGCACAAAAATGGAATTAAAAGTGAAAATAATTGATTAGATTAATAAGGATGGTTTCAGAAGGGCATACTTTTGAACATTAGAGAAGGTTTAAAATTTCTTTATTTTCTAGAAATTTATTATTTGCATCATTTGCAATGAAATTAGACCAAAAAATATATACCAATCCAGACATCCATTTTTTGTTTGTATCATCTGTCCTTAAACCAAAATATGTTTAGAAATATATTATCCTAGAAGAAATATAAAGTCTTATCAATATCTTTTATCGAATATGTAGATAGACACAGTAATTAATGTTTCAGCCTTAAAAGATGAGGGGATCCAGAATTGTAAATTGACCCTGCAAAACATATACCATTATGGACCAGCGGGTTAAATTTCCAATGTGGGTAAAAACGCCATTTCTCGGTGCAAAGAATGTATTTTTTCCCTTTAAGTGAAAACCCCTCTGAGCCATAACTCTCATTCCCACTGACATTTAAAACAAAAAATTCATCTGTAAGAACATAAATTTTACTCCACTTATTAGATGCTTTAGTTTTTTTCCTGAAAGTTTAAGGAAACAGAAGTTAATGGTATCAAAAAAATTAAATCAGTAAAGGGTTAAGTAAACTTATCTGCTTATTGTTGTAGATGAAAAAAAATGTTCCTGTTTTTATTTATTTATTCATTTTGTATTTTTTTTTTAAATATTATCTATTTTTTGTCTCGCTAAAAGCTTGTATAGTGGAGCTTTGAATCGTTTATTTTAAACAGATAAAATATTTATATAGATAAAATGAAGGCACACATTGCTACATGTAGTAATATATAACCCTATCCTACATAAAATAATAAATTATTTTTAGAGAAAAAGTTATAAGGTATATTTATTTTTAATTATCTCTCTCTCTCTCTCTCTCTCAGTTCAGAAGTGTTTTAGTAATATTTCGAAAACGTATAGTTAGTAACGGGTAATTAAAGTCTTGTTATAAAACAACATGGCATATTAAATAGACATTAACAACAAATCAAACTTTTCTCCGCCACCACCAACTGCGAGTTTCTTGTAATACTCAAGGATGCAGATTATATTTTATGCGTGCTGGTCATAGAACGATCGAGGGCAGCTGTTCGCTAATCAATAATGGCAATTTAACCATGACAAATAGTCTGCAATTGATCATACAAAGGCCTTTCTTAGCTTTGAAACTATTTTGGAAATCATCTGGGTTGGCTAATTTAGTGTTAATATTCTCACAGATTGAACGGGAATGAAAAACAAATTTTTCCTTGAACATAAAGTTTATAGCTAACTTCAAATTTTAGCATTGAAATTATGTCACTCTTTGATAAACTGTAACGTATACGTAGCTTTTGTAAAAGGCTTCCTCGTTTTTTTTTTTAATGTGCTTGTTTTAATTGTGTTGCAGTTTTAAAAATTTGGTATTCATATTTATTTTAACACAAAAAAATTAATTGAAATCAAGTGTGGAAGTATGACTTGAACCTTAAATTGGTCTGAGGAGTATCGATAATTGCATGAACCAAAGATGCACAAGTTCGATTAATTTAATTGAAACTTGACAATACTTAAAATGCAAATTGTAGTCTTCTAGTAAACGAAAATGTGTATAATACATGTAATGTCTTGTAACATCCGTCACAAATACATGTAGATATTAGATCTTTATATGAACAAGACATTAACATGAAAGGGCTTTCAACTTACAATGTATCTGAATGTTGAAAATGGTAGACATGTAAAGAAACTGTGTTTACGGAGAAAGATTTAAGACAGACTTCTATTTACACCGTCCTTTTTTAAAACCTGTACCAACTGCAAGTAGGTGTGCATTTAATGTATATCTACATGTAGGTGCTACGTCCTAATATTTATTATTCTGTCTGTCCTAGTTTCGGTTAACTATAGAAACCAAAAAGTCTTACCTGATTGCAAGAAATCCAAATCGGAAAGCTTTTCTACCAAAACTTCTAGACTAGTGGAATTTCTTCCTAAGGAAAAGATCCAGATTTCCAGACAAAAAACAAACTCAGGCCAGTTTTCTTTCCCTAAAACTTTGCAGGAAAAATAAGAGGTTAAGATACATGTTGCACCCAGATTGTATACAGCTTAAAATAAGTCATGCAGAGCACCTGAAAAAAGTGTTTTTACGTGTAAACATACGTATCATATACTCAGTGTATATCTACATGATCTAGCTATTGTAAAAATAAGTACCTGTTCTTGTAGTAAGGCTGGAACTAATTTGTAACAATTTTAAATCTTTATTCTTCAATCGTTATTTTATTTGTTTTTTAATAAATCCATTATCTATTTTTAGGAATGAAATACAACTTCAGACTTACCAAGTTATCCAAGACTATTGTTGCTTCAATGTTGAGAAAAATATTTAGATTCGTCACAAGGGTGTTCCAAACTTCTTTTCAGTAACTAATGCTGCGTAATATCATGGATTGATTGACTCCTTTGTAAATGTACTGAGAAGTCCAAGGTTTGTAATATACGTCCTCAATATCCCGCATACTCTGTATCACAAAACAAACCGTTCATATGTATCACTTTTGCTGCAACCCAAAGGACGGTGAATAAAAGTTCGATTTTTGTTCCATTTTCTCTTATAATGATTCAGCTCATTTCTCATGTCTGTTTATTATTGGTGGTTCACTGTAAGAATGCACACGTGTATTCCTAACACCACCAGGAAGTACTACCGGTAATTATTTTGATATGTGATCTAAGGCTGTAACTCGATTCCTGCATGTATGTATTTCGTAATATCATGAATATCAGACTCAGCGTAGTAAATCCCCCATCACAGACACCGTCCCTCACACACACACACACCCTCGCAGGAATAGGATTTTCTTTTGAATTTTGATATTAAAAAATTTCTAGCTATCCCCCCCCCCCCCCCCACACACACACACACTTTCAAAAAAACGATGCTACGTCCCTGCGATAAAAGTACAGAAAATCACTTTTGATGCGTATTGTCTCTCCACAAATTTCATGTACAATAAAGTGCAATTTAACAAATCAGCAGTTACTAACGTAAAAGCATACTACTGAAAATAAAAAATATCTTTTGATTGCCGATTGATAGGAGAAGGAAGAGAAATGCTGCTTATTAACAAATCAGTAGAAATTTAAGATTAAAATTACCTTAAAAAACATAATTTTAAATATCTTGTCAAACATTATTCCTCCAATCCACTGGCATTAGTCTTGTGAAATGTAAAAACAGAATGATCGAATGTTGTCTAGTCGTATTAAAATTAAATACGAAAAATATATTCTAAGTCCAAATATCAAAATATTTTATTTACGTGACTATAGTTTTTTGTTGCCTTGCTCTTCCAATAAAAGAAAAGTTTTGTGCTTCCTGATGCTTCTCTGATCCGCGTGATTTGACCTTGTCGTAATGAGTTTTGATCAAAATGCCACATCAAATGATCAATTTTTATCTCCAGGGCACTCTTACCTTGGTTAATTTCATATTTTATTATAAAGATATGAGACAACAATTTTACACATCAAACCAGTGATCTTGTCTATGTCCATATGACCATTGCGCCTCTAGTTCTATGATTAGTATTATCTTTAAATGTTTTCTATATCAAAATTATGGATATTTCTCAAACCAAATTGCTGCATTTCATTTCCTGAAACCTGCATAGCATTTCAGACATTTTTTTTTTCATTTCCGACATTTTTTCTTTTCATTTCCGACATATTGGTTTTTTTTTTTCAATTTCGGAATTTACCTGTCCGGCAACGTAATGTTTGCCAAGTAAGTGAAAATGGAATTTAAAAGTATTTTTTGCAAAATATAAAAAAAATATATAAAACTCTTATTTATTGTAAACTACGTGATAGAAAAATGTAAAACTCAATCTTCTGTTTTTCAGGGAGAGGGCTAAAATAGGCTGCGCCTGCTGCCCAATCCAATTCACAATAACACCAATAAATAAAATATTGTTTAAATTAAATTAGTCTTCTATTTAGGTTCCCGTTCTTTAAAATATTCTTCTACCGATAAAGTATCCCCTCTACGATGATTTTTTTTTTTTTTTTTTTTTTACCTCAACTTGGTTTGTATGTCTGTATGATACAAACAAACAAAATATGCCAGAATTAATATACAATAAATTGACTAATTTTGGTCAAAGGCGTGGCAGAATAAACCCCAGAGTCCTATAAAAAAGAAGTTGAGACTAATTAGATATACATAACCTGTTCAAAAAAAATAAAATATTTTTTTTTTCGGTTGCATTTCATTTCCGGAACTTTTTTAAACTTTCAACTTTTCATTTCCGACAATTTTTAGTCCCCCCCCTCCCCCCACCCAAACATTTTAAAGTTTTCATCTTCGACATCTTTAAGGTATTGCTTTTCGGTAATGAAAGTAGGATTGAATAATTCACTGATGAAAATTTTTAAAGAATAAATTATAGTATATCATATGTCTTGGACATAAGTTCGGTGCAGTCGTTGAGAATTTTATGAACACTGAATGTTATTCTTACAAATGCATGCTCATTTAGACTTGGTGCTTCATGACAGATCTATATTTACAACAGATTTTTTATTTGTTTTTAATCTGTTAATTTTTTGAAAAAATTATTTTGAAATACAGAAATAAATTAATTTTAAAATTTGATTTCCTCCTACTTGATTAACATTAAGTTGCTCAAGAGGTACCTTGCAAAAATTTCGAAAATGAAAACTGAAATGAATATATATCAGAAATGAAAAGAAAAATTGTCGGAAATGCTATATTCAGATTTCCAGAAATAAAATGCACCAGCGCTTTTTTTTCGGATATTTTTCGGAAATACATGTAGTTATATGGAAGTTATGTCTTTGAAGAAATAAGACATTTTGATAGGACAATTTTAAATAGTTTTAGGACAAATTAGCTTTCGTTCAGACAAAAAAAATTTACATGTTTTTCTTGAGACAATTTGATTTTTGATTTAAATGAGCTTTATTTTTCTGCGCAAAGTAACCATGATTGCTCTGATAATCAATCAAAGGATGCGTTGTAGAAAATCAAGAATGTTACAATAAATCATACGAATTAATGCACACTGGTGATAAAAGTATGATTTAATTAAATATTATATCATACATGTGGTCAATGTGGTTTTTTCCCCTCTCTATTCTTACCCGCTGTTGCAGTTTCATAGAAGTTTTGTGGCAGGTTAAGGATACAATACGCAAGTTTCGAGATTGCACTTCTCCTACGATAGAAGCGCGAAAAGTATCCATTTCAGCATGGAGGTGGGACAGGTTGTTTCTCTATACAAGCGTGCATAAATAAATGAACGATATTTATTGTTAAAATTTACGAATACGTAATATCGCGAGTACCTCGCAGTTGTCTTAACTTACCGCCGCTCTTTTGCGGGAGAGTCGAGAAAGCTCTAGATTTTGGGGACACATCGATCATTTTAATGCCGAAGGTGCAATGTATTGCCAAGAATTGGACTCCAAATACAGGTGTAGTAGATTGTCAACTAAGGAAAGTTTAGAATATTGAATGGCTTTAAAATGTGACGATTATCAATAAAAATTTAATGAGAAAAGCCCGCTGAGTTAAAAATATCGTTAAAAATGTCACATTTTGGGATTAGCTGGTCTCAAAAATTAATTAAGCTTGTTCAGCGACTTTTAAGCAAGGTATTCCAAAAGGATTTTTTTACTTATCTATCCTTATTTATAAACTCTACAATAACCGATCTTGCACTGTATTCAATAGCACATTTGTCCCCATCCAACAGACGTTTCCTATCTCCATCGCGAAAGAGTTCCGCTAAGTTGAGTAATCGCGATATAAAGTATTGTTATAGAAAGATAATAATGTTGAGCAGTGATGCATTTGATGATTTTATCAAGCTCAACTATGCATATTATTCACAAATCTACTCTTACTAATACTTATAGGTACTTGAAAACGAAAGAAACGTCATATCTTTATAAAAAGTACATGTACATGTTACTGATTTTCTTCATTGTTTGTCATTTCCTTTAAAAGTTTGTAATGAAGTTATAATAATTGTACAATCATTTCATTTAAAAAAGTTGTAAATTTTAAGAGGTCCATATGTGTTTCCTCGTTGAAAATTGTATTTTTTTTAATAATCTTATCATCTACATTTTATTGTTTAAAGGATATCTGTTTAAATTATCATTTTAAGTAGGATTAAAAATATTAATTATTGTGTTATTGATTCGAACGTCTTTGTAAAAAACGAATAGGCCACTGATCAAGAAATCTGTACAAAATGATATGTAATGTTTCAAACATAAGTTGATGCACGCATTTTTGTATGAAATAAAAAAGTGGACCAATAGTGTTAATTTTTTCAAAGTAAATATATCTTTATAAAAAGTACATGTAACTGATTTTCTTCATTGTACAAACATTTCCTTTAAAAGTTAGTGGGTTTCTTGAAGTTATAATAAGGAATCATTTAGATTCCGACGTCTTATGATCAGATGCAGTTGTACCGTACTTATAAGAGGTCCATATGTGTTTCCTCGTCTGAAAATTGTATTTTTTTCTTAAAATCTTATCATCTACGGGATTCGTCTTATTTATGTCTAAAAAAGGATAATTTACAAAATACATGTAAGTTAATAATACGCGTCGTGGTGAAACCGGGAAGATGAATTTCGCTGGATGTCAGTCAGGCGCGGATCCATAAATTTTTTTCCAAGGGGGGGGGGGGGGGGTCAAAAAAAAACCTCAAGTAAAAAAATAAAACTACTCGCCCAAACGTCAAAAACCTATTTCGGGGGGGGGGGGGGGGGGGGATGTAGTGGTGACTTTTGTTGTTGCCTCAAATCTTTCACCTTACATACCCATTTCAAATATATTACCAGAGGGGTCTGCGTTTTCCAAGGGGGGTGCATGGTAACTTTTTTCTTGTTTTAGTATATACATTTTTTTAACCTGATAAATTCCAGGGGGGTCCTGACCCCGCCGACCCCCCCCCCCCCCCTATAGATCCGCGCATGTCAGTTGAGTGTGTTACACACTTGAACTTACACCTGACCATAAGAATGTTTCAAATCGACTTTCATGCTAATTTGATGAGGGTTTCGTGCGTACTGCATGCTCAGAGAACGAACGTGTAAATGGGTTGAACAGATGAATATAAACCAAAGTTGTGGAAATTAAAAATCATTAGAATTATTAATTGTGAATTCAATATAATTTAAAAACATAACACTTTACGAAAAGAATGCTTTCCGTATGGACGAGAAATACGCTCAGATATTATTATATCAATTTCGTGTTTCTGCTGTCAATTCTCTGATCTAAAACAAAATTTTAAGTGAATTATACTCAGGAATATACTTTCACTTAGATCCTGCACTAAAACTTTGATCAAATACAGCTCAGATTTTATTCGACATATTTAACACGAATTCAGGTCGATGCTATTTCAATTGGTCTGAGATTAAATTACTCATTTGGAATTCCATTCAAAGTTTTAATACGAAAAATTGAATAAATTATTTTACAAATATAAATTTCTAGAAACACCATTAATTCATATGAAATAGGCCTTTAATTGTCACCAAAAATGTTCTTGTAAGTAAACTATGTTATGACATACAATCGAGCAAAAACGCAGTTTCTTGATATCGGTCGCGCAAGATGAACTATACTGCTGTATATGCAGCAGTTTCAGAGGTAAAACTGTAGATGGACATGTCATCCATCGTCGCAAACCACGGCCAAAATATACGATCCTCTCCCATATGCGGACTCCGGACCGTTGCTTGAGACGATGCATGTCATCAGTCTCCAAAACATTCCTA